GTGTGTTTATTTTACATTTACATTTACATTTATGGCATTTGGCAGACGCTCTTATCCAGAGCGACTTACAGTGTGATCTTTACACAGGTAGGCGAAGGTAGTGTTAGGAGTCTTGCCCAAGGACTCTTATTGGTATAGTGTAGAGTGTTTACCAAGGTGGGGTTTGAACCCCAGTCTACAGTGTAGAAGGCAGAGGTGTTACCCACTACACTATACCAACCACTATTTATCTGTGTGCTGCTCTCCATGATTACAAACCAGATTACAAACAGATAAACAACGCGACTCTACGCTTCTCTGAGTTCATGTTCAGAGGGTTAATCTGTTCGGGGCATTTCTGCGCTGTAGAGTGAATCTGCAAAGAGCTGATCTCTGAGGTGGTGCCATCACAGCTAGCAGGGAACATTCCTACAACTTTGGCTAACGTTACCTACAGGTTCTAATAAAGCTTTGAAGAAAACCTTTTAATCTCATTTTCAAAAAATTGTTTATCATTTCAAATAATATTCCTGTAAGGCTAAATGTTAACTTAGACATAATGTTTTAACTGCAGCATTCAGAGGATGTTGTGAGGATGTTTTCAGGACCACAGATTATGTTAAATGATGAAGTTTTTAGGGAAAATCTACCTTTAAGAAGAACTTCCTGCCACGAACACTAATAGAACATGCATAATATTTTCAGAATGTTTTCAGAACAAAGCATTTTTAGCTGGGATGGTCTGTAGTCAGCCTGGAAAACAAACAAAAGCATGACACAGTAAAAAACATTTTGTTGGAGCTGACGGGTGCGTCTTTGCTGGAGTGGTTACAGCAGCTGTCAAGTTCAGTGTGGCTTCAAATAACGAGCACTTTAAAACAAAGTTTGGTTAGAAAACCTTCATTCTGATGGACAAAGCAGAGGAGCCAACAAAAAGGGGCCAAAAAAGACTGTAGTGTGGATGTTTGGATGGTGTACTAGCTATCTAGCACAGTTGTGATTTCATTTTTTTTTGTAAATGTTTATTGCTTTTTGATAACACAAAGACATGTTTAAAATGCAATAAAAAACAAAAACAAATATGTTATTATAGTATCTACATCACACCCACAGACCAGCATTCAAAGTGATGAAATTAAGGAGAATATTAAATTAAATCCCTCTGGCCTTACATAGGGAGTTTTTCCTTGCCACTGTCACCCCTGGCTTGCTCACCTGGAGGATTTACATTTCATGTTAAAACTTTGTCTTTAATGGATTTCTGTGAAGCTGCTTTGTGACATCAGTGGTAAAAAGCGCTATACAAATAAATTTGACTTGACTTGACTTGACTTGACATAGCTTTGACGAAGGCAAAAGGATTCGACCAGTTTTGAATTGTGGCAGCTTTGCCTTGTGAAATCCAAAATACAAATATCTAAAAAATAGCAATGCTAACAGAATATCTGGCGTAAACCAAGCCTTCAAAATAGAGTTTTTGGAAGCTGTTCTATAAAGTTACAGAAAACATCTAAACAATAATCAAGTGATTTTTAATGCAGAGGTTTATTTAATAACTTTTCCCTGTGAAATTAAACCCTGCTCTTGTTCTCTGAACGCAAAGTGCTGCTGTTGGAAAAAACCTTGTATCTCCTTTCTTGTCATTTTTCAGTTTCTGACATAGTTTAAAAATGACAGTTGTCCTTTACATTGTGTGTAAATTTCATGATGAATGAACCAAAAGAAACATCAAAAAAGTCTGGTTACACTGACTTACATTAAAAAAGTACAGTCTGTTTTTTCCTTCTCCTGTAAAGTTAACATTTTGGAGATACAAGATTTTTTTTCTGACAGCAGCGAAAAACAAACTTTCAAACCAGCATCCTCACAAAACCTGAGAACAATGAGGCCAAACGTTAATAAGTAAAAAGTTTGAAATTTTATTTGCATATAAAGGCAGCTAAATATATCACAATGAAAATGGGAGAAAAAAGCAGATCTAATCTTTTCCAAGAGCAACAGAAAAAGGCCGAGAGGTGTTTACAGTGACGGAGTTTAAACAGCTATTGGCAACATGACAACTTTTTTTTTGTGCTAGCAAGATTGCATTTACACACAGTGCAGGAAATAAAACACAAAACTACATAATCAACAAATCCAACGACAACTAAACCTTATTCAGGCAGGTCTGTGGAGGAAAACAATCTTTTAGATCGTACAAAATATATTTCTGGGGAATATTCAAAATAAAATTAAATACAAAACAAACTAATACGTGTGCACTATGCACGTCTTCCTTTACAAGCAAAGCAGTTCTCTCTTTTAAGATACATACAGATAAACTCCTGTTTAAGACATTTACCCACTTACAGTGGCAAAAGTTTGGGCACCCCTGTCAAGAGAGTAGAACATTACAGATGTTTTTTTCAATGTCTTAAGCAAGATCAGTGTTTTATTTCTGTTTTGTATGATTTTAGAGTAAAAAAAACTAAAAGAGCCCTGTGAGATTTGAGCTCTCATAACTTTTACCATGATCTCAGACCTTAATTAGCTCGATAGGGCTGTGGCTTGTTCACAGTCATTGTTAGGAAAGACCAGGTGATGCAAATTTCAACGCTTTATAAACACTGTGACTCCTCAAACTCCCAACACTCAGCTGCTCAGCACTCTGAACATTAAAATAACTGATGAGTACTAAGTAGGAAAAGAAGATGGCAAAGCGTTTTCAGGCAGCCGTTTCCTCAGTTTGTAAGATAATTAAGAAATGGTAGTTAGTAGGAACAGTGGAGGTTAAGCTGTCGTCTGGAAAACCAAGAAAACTTTCCAAGATAACTGCTCGTAGAATTGCTAAAAAGGCAAATCAAAAACCTCATTTGACTGTAGACCTTCAGGAAGATTCTGTAGTGGTGGTGCACTGTTCTACTGAACTACTGTTCTTCTTCTGAAGTTAAAGTTCTCAGCTGCAATGAGCAAAGCTACGTTTGGAGAAAAAAAGAATTTCATGAAGAGAACATCTCTCCAATTGTAATAACGGGGGCGGGTCAGTCATGCTTTGGGCTTGCATTGCAGCCAGTGACACAGGGAACATTTCACTGGTAAAGAAAAGAATGGATTCAATTAAATACCAGCAAATTCTGGAAGCAAACATCACACCATCTGTAAAAAAGCTGAAGATGAAAAGAGGATGACGGAAAAATGAACCTAAACACATCTCAAAATCCACAAATAATGATCTCAAGAGGCGTAGGCTGAAGGTTTAGTCCTCAGAGTCCCCTCGACCTAAACACCATCCGAAACCTGTGGATAGACCTCAGAAGAGCAGCGCCTACAAGACTACAGTTGGGTGATGTCTACCTAATGGGCAGATAGGAAACATTGCAATAGATGATGACATCGGTGGGAGGTGGGGGGGCATATGGGTTGGGGGATCATTCAGTCTTAAGCCCATTCACAGCCTATTCTCCCCTCCTCACCCAGCCTTTCCTTACTTTTCCTCTGCCTTTCCTCTGTATCCTTATTTTTCACATGATCACTGTGCTTTGCAATTATGGCTGAAACATTTGGTTGGGTAAGTCAAAGAAACTGTGCTCACTGTTTAAATTATTGTTTTGTCTAAATAAACATCTCTAATGCATTTCTGGGACAGTGTACAGTTTCTGATGGCAGTCCAGGTGAGTGAAGATAAATCCTGGCAAGAACAGCAGCGCTATAAGAATAAACAGCGCAGAGCTTCAGCGGACATGAGACTGAGGCTTTGTAATGACTCAGTGAAAAAGCTCAGCTGTTAGCAATGAAATCTGTGTCTACTAAATGCATCCAGATGATAAACTGTGAAATAAACATCACTGTTTGCTTCTAACAGACTCGTTTTAATTTTTTTACATGTTATATTCTCTTTATAATTGGAATTTGCCCTCACTAGCAGGCTGAGCAGGTAGCAGAAAGCTAACAGGCTAATGCTACAATAATAAAAGACAGACTTCAAGTTTAAGCCCTTAAATAAAATGTTACTTAAAAATAGACATACCAAGTAAAGAAAGCTACTTACATGCCTGTTACGAGCTTAGAGCGTCCTTATTTAAAATTGAGCTGACTTCGATAAAAATCCCATATAGTGCTGAGCTAACCCTGCTAGCCTGATGCTAAAATACAAATAGTAAAAATACAAAGAGCATTATTAAAATGCTGGTTTAAAAACAGATTTCTAGATTAGACATTGCAGTGAAAGGAAGTATTACATGGTTCTCTGACCGTGACTCTCAGTGTAAACACAGTTACAATGAAACATTTTATAACACTTCAAATGAAATGATGCATGAATAATTGGTGTGACGTTAGACTGTAAACAGGATCCTCTGACTAAAGCATCCCTGCTGTCAGTGTGGACTGTTGGAGAGGGTGTGGCATTGGCCCGCTATGCAAGACGGCCCAAGAATCTCACAGAACTAGAAGCCTTTTGCAAGGAAGAATGGGCAAAAATCCTCCAAACAGGAACTAAAAGATTCTTAGCTGCTACAAAAAGCATTTACAGGTTGTGATAGTTGCCAAAAGAGGTGTTACTAGCTACTGGCCATACAGGGTGCTCAAACTTTTGCTTGAGGCCGTTTTCCTTTTTTTGTTATTTTGAAACTGTAAAGGATGGACATTCAAAAATATTTCATCCTTATCTTTTCTATCCACAGTAACAGAAATTCCGACTAGGGTGCCAAAACTTTTGCACACCACCGTGTAGGCAGATGCTCCAGTAAACAGTTTCGAATGTTGTAGCTGCTCTCATACAAAAGCATCCTCTGAACACATAAAAGAAACTTTCAGCTCGAAGCAGATAATATATACAAGCCCTTCTCTTCGCTAGCAGATAGGAGGGTCCTAGCCGGGGGGCTCAAAGTTAGTTAAGGCAGTTTTCCCGTCAGCCAAAAGAAAGCTTAATTGCCCTCAGTAGAATATACAGAATGAATGATGGCATCTGATATCAATGCATTCTGAGAGCTGCAAAAAAGAGAGATTTTTACAAATTCGCAAACTGTATGTTACAGACTTCATTTTTTTTTTTTTGTTTAACGATCTTCATCCCACCCAACACTTTTCACCCACTGAATTTTTTCCACTTCCACTGAACAGTTTACAAAAATTTCATTTGTAAAGAAACACTCAACATAATTACTATTATTATAATATCACTGTGAAATAAACATCTCAGGAGCTGGGGGGGTTCGGCAGGTCGAAGACGATGGGGGGGTTCGTGGGCTGAAAGCTGACCGTGCAGGTCGAGGCGTTGATGAATGTCGTGTACCCATCTGTCATAATGCCGTAGCCTATGGGAGAAGAGCAGAGGCGGGGCCAACATTAATGCCACACCCACCACTCAGTATGAGTGACAGTTACATTTGATTTACATTCTGAAGCAGCAGCTTCACTGTAGAGAGAAAAAACATATTAAACCGCTTAGTGACTGTAACAGCTGACAGGCACAACAGCTACACCAGGACCCACAACCCAAACGTTAAGAAGAGCCATTTTGTCACTCCAGCAAAAATCAAACCACCTTGGGAGCCACAACATTTTATGTCCATTATACCATCTTGGCTGTAAATATGTCTCAATATAATATGAACAAAGACGCACACTCACTTTGCTCTGCTTTAAGCTTTAGCTCAGCTATAGCCACTTTTCTCGCATCTCCGGCAGGAAACTTTTCATCAAAAGTAGAACAGTTTCTTGTAAAATGTCTCTTTACGTCCGATTTTTTATGAGGCTGAAGTCAGCTTCTCATTCACCAGCTTCTTGTTTGAATTTTTCCATTCCACCTTAAATGGTGGCTGAGGCGCCAGAATGTAAATGCTTTATCATTCAAGGTGGCACAGGAGAATTCAAACAAGAAGCTGGAGAATGAGAAACTGACTTCAGCTTCACGACTTTTAATGTTTGACAATTTCTGGTTGCTGATTAAACATATCAGAAGCTGGAGTGATTATAAATGCTAATAATTTGTCTCCGATTCCATTCGTCTCCAAATTATCGATGTTCGTCTTAAATCTTTCTCTTTTCGTTAGCTACTAGCTAAGTGAGATTGTTGTCTGTGTTGCTATGGTGACCAGCAGTCTGCACTGATCTTCAGGGTTAAAGGGTGAATTAGCAGTTAGACATTAAGTCCAGCGTTTAAGATCATTTATTGTTAAACTGTGTTGAACGATCAGCAGAGCTTTATTTTACTGCGAAGAAGGATTATTTTATTTTTACCCAGAAATCTAATTCTGCTGTGGAGTAAAAGAGCTGCATGTTGCCGACCCCTGAGCTACATGCTAATTTAAGGGCACATGTCCTACTTTTTTATGTGTTTCATTTTTTCCCCACTTATAACATGTGTGAGGATTTAAGTAAGAAAAACAACCATGATTCTCCATGATCATTTTCCAGCCTCTCTTTATTCTTCACATTTTAACAGGCTGTTTCTGTTACTGTGCCTTTAATCCAGATAGAAATGTTTTGTTCTAAAAATGTTCTGAGAACCTTACGCACATGTTCTATTAATGTTTTCAGCAGGAAGTTTTTTTGTTCTTCTTAAAGGAAGGAAAAACATCATTTAATCTCCTCACAAACATCTGCAAAATCAGTAACTTGTATGTAATGGCTGTTTTTATTATAAATTAATACGTGACTGTTGCTCAGTACTGTATTTATTAGCTACACCTTCCACCATCTGTTCTGCACTTAAAGAGTCTCATCTTCACAGTATATGCAGCTGTTCACAGCTGGAGGAGTGTGTCAGACCTGCATGTGTACGTACCTTCGTGAATTCCTCCGAAGGCGTGTAGTTTTGGCCGTACTCGTCTCTGCACTGTGTTCAGCAGCTCCACACAGCCCACACGCTGCAGCTCTTTAGGAACCCAGTCACGGAAGCCTGCACACATCAGAACATCAACAGCTCTGAATCAGCGCTGAGCGCCGTCTGCAGGTTCTGTCAGATATATACAATAAATATTTGGAGACACAGAGCTTTGATTTCTCCTATTCTCAGCTCTTCAGACAAAATGTCTTCAAGTGTTCTTTTTAGGTTCTATTTAGAACCATGAGTTCTATCATCACTGTCCAAGAAAGGGCAAAAACTTTCTTTACTTTCAATGTAAGTTAATGTGAAATGATTTTACTGAAAGCAGTTTTGGTTCTTTTCTATTGATCTGTTCATTATGGAACTTTCACACAGTGTAAAGAGCAGCTGGTGAGCACAAATTGTGCTGAAAACCTAAAATTGCAAAAATGGACAGCAATGCTATATAAAACTGTTTCATGCTTAAAAGGTTCTTTGCATGGGGAAATTGTTTTTCAGACCGATTGTGTCGTGGTTCTATACAGAAGTTTTTAAAAATGGTTCTATATATCACCAAAAATGGTTCTGCAATTGTTACAGTGTGTGTGTGTGTGTGTGTATATATATATGTATGTATATATATATATATATATATATATATATACACACACACACACACTTTTTTTTTTACTGTAATTAACACTTTCCTGTCCAGAAAACAAATAGTTTTTGGTTTTTATATGGATTTTTTCTTGGCTGTATTGAAAATGTCTATACCTCTTCATTGGTTTTCCTGAGTTTAAAACAAAAAGTTTAATTAAAATGTGAAACACAGAAAAACTGACAAAGTGAGACATACAGTTGTGTCTAGAAGTTTGTGTGCCCCTGGCCAAACTCCATGTATGAGTTGATTTTCTGAGTGTAAATAAGTTACACATCCTTTACAGAGACATACTACTGCACATTTAAATACAACAATTACTGTTTATTTACTGAATTTAACTCACTGCGGAAAAAAACTAAACAAAAAATGTGGCCTGTGCAAAAGTTATGGGACATTTTATATTTTATTTTTTTTTCCTGTATGTTAAATTCCGTTCATTAAAGTGTGCAGTAGTGTGTCTCTGTAGAGGACGTGAGACTTATTTACACTCAGAAAATCAACAAATATACAAAATCTAACTGTGCAATGTTTAAAATCTCTAGTGTTAGTTCTCTATACACGACTACAGACAGACTCTGAACAACACATTTTCTAATGTACTGTTTAATCTATTTTTTTCTATTTCTTTTTGTCCAGTAGGGCTTTTTCTCCCTGATGGACAAACATTCTGCTCTCTTTATGCCCAAAACATCTACAGCACAGGATATGAAGACGTGGCACCACAAAAAATATTTAAATAATCTTAAAATAAGACTGAGTTTTTCTGACTGACAGTAAACGTATTAAAATCTGCCGAATGGTTTAACTGACGCTCCACATGCTGACCTTTCCTGAAGGACATTAATGTATTCGTGAATATATGCATATTTGTAAAGGTCCGTTAGGATTTGTTAATTGTGCTCACCAAGGGGGGGTCCGTGGGTCATGAGGATGTCGATGCCCTCAGGAATCAAGTTCCACTTATCCAGCAGAGACTGACCGCGGGGCAGATTAAAACCCCACCCATTAAACCAAGGGGTCCTGAAAACACAGAAAAACAAACTGTGTTAAACCACCGTTTACTGACCTGCAGGACCTTGAGTGCACTCAAAAAATATAATCTGCTGTATCAGATTCATATAATCTAATTTAGTATTAATAAATTAATTACTTTAATTATTATGTATATGACCTGAATGTAAAAAAATAACAAAAGATGGTTCTTCAAGGGTTCTTAAGTGAAGACAGTGGTTTATATAGAATCTTGAACCCTCAAAGAACCCTTTGTAAGCTTAAATGGTTCTTTGCATGGTGAAATCGTTCTTCAGATTGCACCAAAAAGCATCATACAAATAGCAGAACCCTTTTTGGTGTTATATAAAACCATTTTCAAAAAGGCTCTATATAGAACTATACACAACACTTTCAACATCAATCTGAAGAACTATTTCACCAAGCAGAGAACCATTTAAGCATGCAAAGATTTCTTTTAGTGTTCATGGTTCTATAGAACCCTTGAAGAACCATCATTTTATAGAGTGTAACAGTTCACTCAACAGCAGCTGTCATAAGGCTTTATAACACCTTCATAAGCCTTTCATTACAACACCTGCTGGAATAAACCTTTATAGAATCTATATAGATGATTCTACTGAACTGGTTCAGAGTCAGAGCTGAAACACATTTAGGACTTTTAACTGATTTTGGACTTTAGACTAAAATCCTTTTGTTCTGAGTGACTCTAAACCTTAATTATGTTTATTTTATTAAAACTAATGATTGAACATTCCATTTTGTCACCACCAAAACAATCATAACACTACCAAAACTTTACCAAATGTTTCAGTAGTGACTATTTCAGTAGTGACAATTTTAGCTCATTTTGAGCCCAGCCAGTACATGACCAGCAAACACAGCTTTGAACAGTTGTACACACAGAAAATCATCATATTTTCATTACAACACTAAAAAGTGCTGAACTAGGAAGATGGTGGAAAATACGTCAATTCTTAATGTTCCACACTGATTTTTAGACTTTGGGACACATTTACCCAAAACAATGGGATCTAACTGCTCACCATGTGGCCATGAGAGATAGGGATGCAGCCTCACTTCCTACTCTAAACTGCAGGGGCGTGGCAAAATAAGGCTCCGCCTACAGACTAAAACTCTGTGTTTGGTAATGATGAGCATTTGTTGAATAAAGACTTTTCATTTTAAATAAAACTTGATAAATCTAGATATTTTAACTTTGAATGAAAATCTTTAAAAAAACAAAAAAAAAACTGAAAAAAGCAACGTATTATTTTAAGTAGTGTACATTTAGAGGTCAGGGTTTGGGACAGACTCCTCCCAACAGAAAGAACCCTATTAATGATGATTTTGTATATATTCAGCTTATTACTAATCACCTGAGTTTAAACAGATCAGAACATAATTACAGTAAATAAGATCTTAATACTTTATTATTTTTAAATTTTTTTTACTGTAAGAGACAGTGTGAACTGATTTAGATTTAAGTCAGCTGTTCTTATGGCGTATGCAGGTGTTGTGTAGCTTTATGAACGCTGCCCTTCAGGAATGTTAACAAATACCACCACGATTAATGTCCACATTTTCAGTTAATAATGATAACCTTATTTATAGAGCAGTTTTCATCCATGCAGCACATACACTAAAATAATAATAATTTAAAAAAACAAAACACAAAATAACAAAATAAAGTAAATGAAGAAATTAGCATGAGGGCATTATAACTGTAAACACACAATCAGTTCAGGCTCTGAGAGTTTAAAGCTGAAAAGCTGAAAGCTGAATAATGAAGGGATGTTTTAAATAAACCATGGCTCCGTGTTCAGAGAGAAGCCCCGAGAACTGCCGCAAGGCATTGTGGGAAGTCAGGAGCTGCACAATGGCTCCATTGTTGGTGCCGGTGTATGAATTATACCTCCATACAAGAGCATTAGTTAACCTCCATGAAGATTAATGACATCTCTGAGGTATAAAGGAAGCTCTGTTTCCTCCACACACACTCAAACAGCTCTGATTATACTGTACTGAGGGCACGGTGGGTGGGCGTAAACGGGCCGACCCGGCTGGTCAGATTGGATAACTACAGTGCCATCTGGAGAACGTCATACAGACTAAGAGAGACACATCAGAGCTGAGCGGAGACGCACCGGAGACAGAAATGAAAAAAAACTGAACATCTGACGGATTTAAAGCTGAATACGGTTAGTTCGTCCACACCTCCTATAATGACCACTGCACTACCGTCATTAACACACAGTGATTTAACTTATTAAGACCAACAAAGACCAGAAAATCAGCTATTTCTGCAGTTTAACATCGAATTCAGTTTTTTCATACATTTAAATATATAAATAACACCAATCCTACCACACAACAACGTACACAAACTCAAATACAGCATTAGTTAACATTAGAGGTAAGTGATATGGCAAAAAATACAATATCACGATACTTCAAGAAATTTTCACAATACACGATTTATCATTATATTTATTTTTTCAGACATCTGATCAGTTGGAACAGAGAAAAAAGAACCAGTCATGCTACATTAAAAAAAAATACCAAAAACTGTGAACATGGTTAAACGGAACTAATTTTGCTCTCTTTATAATGAAACATGCAGTTGGTCAGTGTCTACAAGTACTGAAGATATAAATGATATGATCAGAAAAGAATATTGTGAGATAACTTATCACAGTAATGATAGACATTGTCATATTTGCCAGCCCTAATTAATATATTTTTTTTATTAATAATGGGTGACATCAGAAAATGGACAGTCACCGTGTGTCAACACTAAAAGTCAGCTCTAGGATGCGCACCTTCATAAAAACAAAGGTTTGGAATTTTCAGACTCTATCCACCTTATTTTCCACGTGAACGCTGGACCGAAGTGTCACTTGCTTTTTAAAGGACGCATATTCTACATTTTTCTTGTACTTTATATTTTTCTCTGTGAACATTTGTGTAGTTTTATGTACCAACAATGGGCATAATTAATTTTAACATTGCCATTTACCAACCAACCTATTAAACAGGCTGCGCTTTTAAGAGTGGTCTATGCAAACGAGCTCTGCTCTGATTGGCTGCCTTCTTTCAAAAAGCATTCAGAGCTGAAACACACCTTTGAATTTCAGTGTGAGTGGGCGGAGCTAAACTGCTGTGGGCTGATGTGTAAATGTGTTGGTTCTTGTGACATCACAGAAACAATAAACTCAAAACAGGCTGTTGTACATATTTATATATATAGTTGCATATATAGTTATACATACAGTTTCCATATATGGACTGTATGAGAACTGTACGTTTTCAAAAAAGCTTAAATTTTACATCAAACTCTATTTGGGAAAAAAAAGCGAGGGAAATCTGTTTTTTCATGATATGGGTCCATCAAATGTACAATTCAAATGAAATTATACAATTATGTAGTTGATAGTAAATGACAGAAACAGGAAAAATGCAGGATTTTTCTTCTTTCTGCAAAACAGGACTGCACTTTTCATCAAATCAAGATGATAATAAAATTTCTCCTCTTCTATTTACAGACACTGATGAGTTCTGGACTGAGTGTTTAGAATTTACACTTTACACAGTATCTCCTCTCGTTTAGTCAGAAATCATTCATATAAATCTATATAGTACATAAACATAGATTTATTTATCTTATAATGCAAAGTGTATTTAGTGAAGATATTTTGCAGTGTATGAAAATGAAAATGTATATCAATATATATATATATCAAACTGTTTGATATATCTGATATAAATCCCTCTGATGTTCTCTGGCGTGTGTCTCTCTCAGAGTTAAGTGAGTGTGTGAGAGGAGGAGAGTGTGAGATATTGTGAGATGGAAGCTGAAGCTCGGCGCTGTGAGAGATTCTCTGTAGGAGCTGTGGAGCAAGGCGAGGCAGCAGGCACGTTAGCGAGTGTCCAGCGTCTGCATGTTTGACAGAAGCTCATTTAGTCTCGAGTGCAGAATGTCAATATTCAATTAGCCTGCGAATATTCTCCCACAGACATATCCCAGCAACCCCCGCTGCCCCCCCCATCACTAATGATGTAGGGAAGCTTCATCATTAGGGAGGAAAAGGCCAGCCGGTCGAACACGAGGACACGACACCATCACTTAACACACACTGTTGAGGAAGCGCATTAACTCTCAGAGCAGCGATTAATTCAGCAATTAAACCCCCTCCTGGATCAATATCTCACTTTCTCTTAACCCCATCAGCTGATATTAGTGCAGATCTGAAAGCTCATTTTTCGTCCTCAAAATGTGTGTATGAGCTGCGCACGGCAAATGCCAGAGAGTCAGAGTCCGAGTCGAGTCTCTGAGGTGCTGAAACGTAAGGAGGGGTGCTATGCCTAGACACTTAAAGAAGATGGTTCTTCAAGGGTTCTTCAGTAAAGGAAACGGACAAATGAACACTCAAAGATCCCTTTGCATGCTTAAATCGTTCTTTGCATGGTGAAACAGTTCTTCAGATTGATGGAGAATGTGTTGTATATGGTTCTATATGGTCCTGAATATGGCTCTAAACAGCATTCTTCTGTTAGAAGCTTGGCATCATAACAATAGCAGAACCCATTTTGGTGCTATACAGAACACATTCTCCATCAACCTGAAGAAGCATTTCACCATGAAAAGAACCATTTAATCATGCATATGGTTCTTTGAGTGTTTGTGGGTCTATATGGAACCATTTTCTTTACTAAAAAACCCTTGAAGGAAGTCACAAAGAGTGGGAGGGAACCGAAGCAACTGGAGGAAACCCACACAGACACAGGGAGAACATGCAAACTCCACAAAGAAAGAACTTTGGTCACCCGGCTGGGGAATTGAACCCAGGTGTGACAACGCAACAGAATCCAGACGCTCGCGGTGTAAAAGGGCTTTCGCAGTAGTAGTTTAATGGAGTTAAGCAAAAGCGGAGTCAAAAAACAAGCATGGGTCAAAACCAAACAGCACATACAAAACACAACGATGATCATATCACCGTGTGAACAAA